AATCTCAGCACTTTTCCTGTGGGTGGAAGTGTGGGGCAGTCTCCATTAAACGTAGGTGCTGTGATGTGTAAAATCACAAAGCTCACTGCATGCTCCCTATTGCTCCCACTTGCCAGGGCAGGACCATATGGGCCACCCAACTGTCATGTGACCCTTCTCTAATGAATTGCTTTGGTGCCAAAACTTCTCTTTAATTAGAGTATTGATGTTAAATACATTTGGTCGTAGGGCTGTCTCTTGGTCAGCTGGATTGTTTGGCCATTGCTGAGTGTATGAACGGGTATGTTCATGCAAACATCCCCATATGGAATAGACTTATTCTAAGAAAATCAGTGGAATGCCTTAGAAATTACTTGTACAACCTGCAGAATTTCATAGAGAATGAAAACCTTTCTATAGGTTTTGTAGGCATCCTATAGAATTCTGTAGCAGGAATCTAATTTTCTATTAAATCCTATGGGATGATTTAAAAAACCCACAGAAAAGATATTTTCTATTGCATTCTGTAGGAAGTTTCCACAACTGTTTGGTCTGCCTAATCTGTAGGTTCTGTCTGCCGGTCGAGTCCTGTCTCATCCCCAGGCCTGAGCTCGCTGGGCCAGGGATTGTCTCCTTTGTTCTTTGTCTGTATGGTTCCCAGTGCAGTGGGGCCTTGACCTAGATTGGGGTTCTTAGACTTTTCTGCAAAGCAAATAATAAATCTGCCTATTTCTAGATTAAAATGGGATTATGAATTTGGCTCTTTGGGGGGTTGGTTTAGGCAGCCTGGCTGCTGCTACCTGTATGTCAAGTGTGGGTGAATAAGGCAGTTGTCTGCTGCTGTAGGAGGCCACGTTCCTTCCCCTCTCGTCCTCTGGTCATGGAGAAAGCTTCTCTGAACGGTGAGTTGTCAGGTCGCAGCAGCCGCGCTGCAGAGAAGCCTGTGTTGCCATTACTGCCCTGTACGTGCCTAGAATCGCTTCAAGTGCCAAAGCCATGTGGCCACCTCTATGGGGGATGTTCTGTTTCAGCAGCTGCGCATGTCACGGGTGGGGAGTGGAGAGACACTTCGCCCACTGAGAATCTAGGCAGCCACAGTGCATAATGCTGACTTGTGTAATGCCGGCCACCTGAAGATCTCAAAGCACTTCACAAACACAGAACTAATTCCAGCTGGAACAGCAGAACTAGAAGTAGTAAGGAAAAGCTGTCCAACTCTTCAAAAGCAGGGTGTGTGTGTGTATTGAGTTTAATGATGGCATGCATGCCTGTGCACACATAAGTGTCCATCTTATGTGTCATATTAATTGCGACCCAGGTGATGTGCTGTAGGTGAAAAATCCCGTCCCGCGATGCTTGTCCCTCAGAAATGAGGGTGAGTTGAATGAGAATCTGTCATTCGTATCTGTTTTGTGTCTTGTTTTCCTTCAGTTCTCAGTCTGGGGGGGCTCCTCCATGATCTTTGGGTTAATTTCTAGCTTCTTTAAAAAGCCGACAGAACTTCAAGAAATAAGGGGCTCTCTATTGGAGGAAACTTTGAAATATAATAGGGCTGTCAAGCGATTAAAAAAATTAATCGTGATTTATCGCGCTGTTCAACAATAATAGATTACCATGTATTTAAATATTTTTGGATGTTTTCTACATTTTCAAATATATTGATTTCAGTTACAACACAGAATACAAAGTGTACAGTGCTCACTTTATATTGATTTTTATTACAAATATTTGCACTGTAAAAAACAAAAGAAATAGTATTTTTCAGTTCCCCTATTGCAAGTACTGTAGTGCAAACTCTTTATCATGAAAGCTGCATTTACAAATGTAGAATTATGTAAAAAAAAACCTGCATTCAAAAATAAAACTTTAGAGCCTACAACTCCACTCAGTCCTACTTCTTGTTCAGCCAGCTGCTCAGACAGACAAGTTTGTTTACATTTGCCGGGGATAATGCTGCCCACTTCTTATTCATAATGTCACCTGAAAGTGACAACATGCGTTCTCGTGGCACTGTTGCAGCCGGCGTCGCAAGATATTTATTTGCCAGATGCGCTAAAGATTCATATGTCCCTTCATGCTTCAGCCACCCTTCCAGAGGACGTGTCCATGCTGACGATGGGGTCTGCTTGATAATGATCCGAAGCAGTGTGGACTGACGCATGTTAATTTTCATAATCTGAGTCAGATGCCACCAGCAGAAAGTTGATTTTTTTTTTTTTTTGGGGGGTGATTCAAGTCCTGTTGCTCTTTTAAGACTTCTGAAAGCAAGCGCCACACCTTGTCCCTCTCAGATTTTGAAAGGCACTTCAGATTCTTAAACCCTGGATCAAGTGCTGTAGCTATCTTTAGAAATCTCACATTGGTACCTTCTTTGTGTTTTGTCAAACCTGCAGTGAAAGTGTTCTTAAAATGAACAACATGTACTGGCTCATCATCCGAGACTGCTATAACATGAAATATATGGCAGAATGTGGATAAAACAGAGAGCAGGAGACATACAATTCTCCCCCAAGGAGTTCAGTCAGAAATTTAATTAACACATTATTTTTTTAACGAGCCTCATCAGCATGGAAGCATGTCCTCTGGAATGGTGACTGAAGTATGAAGAGGCATACGACTCTTTAGTGCATCTGGCAAGTAAATATCTTGTGATGCTGGTTACAACAGTACCATGCGAACGCCTGTTCTCACGTTCAGGTGACATTTTAATTAAGAAGTGGGCAGCATTATCTCCTGTAAATGTGAACAAATTTGTTTCTCTTAGCGATTGGCTGAACAGGAAGTAGGACTGAGTGGACTTGTAGGTTCTAAAGTTTTACATTGTTTTATTTTTGAGTGCAGTTATGTAACAAAAAAACCCTACATTTGTAAGTTGCACTTTCATGACAAAGAGATTGCACTACAGTACTTGTATGGGGTGAATTGAAAAATACTATTTCTTTTGTTTATCATTTTTACTGTGCAAATATTTATAATAAAAAATAACATAAAGTGAGCACTGTACCCTTCATATTCTGTGTTGTAATTGAAACCAATCTATTTGAAAATGTAGAAAAACATCCGAAAATATTTAATAAATGTCACTTGGCATTCTATTGCTTAACAGTGTGATTAAAACTGTGATTCATTGCGATTAACTTTTTAAATCGTGATTAATCTTTTTGAGTTAATCGCGTGAATTAACTGCAATTAATTGACAGCCCTAAAATATAATGTTACAGCTTATTTGATGAAGGGAAAGGAAAAATGGGGACGGGAGGGGCTAAATGATATTTTAGCTGTATTGTCCCATAAACACTGTACGATTCCTATTCTTCTGTGAGCAGAGCCATTGTAGTGTCTGATAAGATCATCTCTGCACTGGTCGCCTGTTGTTTCCTGTTGGAAATCTTCCAAGGTCCAAACGTGCTCTTGTTGAGATGATGTGAGCGAAGAAAGGGAGAGAGGGGTGGGGGCTGCTGCTGGATAAGATCACAATTTTCTCCTTGTCTGATTGTGAGGAGCTTATCTGTGTTTAACTGTTGTGGCTCTTCCCTGACTACAAAGCTCATCCTCTTTCCCTCCGTTCCTTTCAGAGGGTCGATGAGTGGATGGCGAAGGAAGGCCTCTTAGATCCTAGCGTCAAGTCGATTTTTGTAACCTGCGGAGACTGGGATTTGAAAGTAATGTGAGTATGGAAAGGGGGCTGCCCAGGGCTTTGTTACTGCATGCTGGGGGATGTGCTTCCTCCTCTCCCATTGGCTAGCTTTTGCTGGTGCAGTGCGATGGTTCGTGTAACTTCCCGCAGGGTTTTGTTTGGTGGGGAGGGAAAGAGCATGTTGATTATTTCCTCTCCCTGTTAATTGCCACATCTTAGTTCTGCTGGGGATCCCCCTTGTCCACATGTTTGTTGACCCCTTCAAAGAACTCTAATAGATTAGTAAGACACGATTTCCCTTTACAGAAACCATGTTGACTTTTGCCCAACAA